CAGCTTCATCTTTGAGAAGGTAACCAGACGCCCTTTAGAGGCAAGTATTCTGAAAGTCCCTGTGACATACTTTGGACATGTCGCAAGGAAAGACCAGTCCTTGGAAAAGGACATCATGTTTGGAAGGGTGGAGGGACAGCACAAGAGAGGAAGACTCTGGATGAGTTATATTGATTTAGTGACTGGGGCAGTGGGATGGGTGTGTTGGAGATGATGAGGTTGGCTTAGGATACAGTAGGGTTCAGAGTTGTTGTACATAGGGTCACTGTGAGTTATAAGTGACTCAATGGCCCCTAACAACAACAATGGGCAATGTATTAAATGGTCCAGAAAGCGCCAAAGGAAGATGGAGGGAATATACAGAATCACTGTACCAAAAAGAAATGATTGACCCTGAAAAATTCAGGAAGTACCAAATGAGCAGGAGCCAACTGTAATGAATGGGGAAGTGGAAGCTGCATTGAAGGTATTGGCAAAATATAAGGCCCCAGGAATTGGTGGAATATTAATTGACTTGTTTCAATTAACAGATATGGTCTTGGTTATGCTCACCAATCTATGCCAGGAAATTTGGAGGATAATTGTCTGGCCAATGGATTGGACGAGGTCTATATCTGTTTTTGTTCCAGAGAAAGGTGATCCAATAGAATGCAGAAACTATCAAACAATATTATTATCAGATGCAAACAAAATACTACTGAAAATCATTCAAAACACCTAGAACAGTATATAGACAGGGAACTGCCAGAAGTTCAAGTAGGATTTAGAAGAGGCTGTGACACCAGGGATATCATTGCTGATGTCAGATAGATCTTGACTGAAAGTAAATAATATCTGAAGAAAGTCTATTTATGCGTTTTTGACTATGCAAAGGTATTTGACTGTGTGAATCATAACAAGTTGTGGCTGACATTGAGAAGAATGGGAATCCCAGAGCACTTGATTGTGCTCATGAAGAACCTATACCTGGACCAGAAGGCTGTTGTGTAAACAGAGCAGGGAAACACTGCATGGCTTAAAATTAAGAAGAGAGTGCATTAGTTTTGTATTCTCTCTCCATACCTATTCAATCTGTATGCTGAGCCAATTATTCCAGAAAAGGGACTCTAAGAAGAGGAATGTGGTATCAGGATTGGAGGGAGACTCATCAACAACCTGTGTTATGCAGATGATTAGCCTTGTTTGCTGAAAGTGAGAAAGACTTGAAGCACTTGTTGCAGAAAATCAAAGAATGCAGCCTTCAACTACTCCTATCAATAAGCCAAGAAATGAAATAAGAAGACATTCAAATCTGTAAGAAAAAAAAACACAAAACCCAAAACTCCAGCACAACCCAATCTGTCCCAATTTGCAGATGATATGACAAGGAATAAACCTAATGAGAGAAACAGAAGACTTATACAAAGAAACTACAAAACATTATTTCAAGAAAGAGAACCATCTAAATTAAAGAATATAGCTTGCTTTTGGATAGAATGACTTAACATCAAGAAATGTCAGTAATATCCAAATCAACTTATAGATATAATGTAATTCAGATACAGAATCCATCAATATTATTTAAGGTGATTAAAGAACTTACTACTAGCTTTTTTATGGAAGAGAAACAGACCAGTGATAAGCAGAGAACTTCTGAAGAAGAAAAAAACCAGGAAGTCCCACACTCTCCAATTAAAAAATATACTACTTACCATGATAGTAAAAAACCCTCAAGCAACCCCCAAAATCAAATACAAAAGCTTCGTCGGGGTCTAATGACAGATATATAGACCAGGGAATGGGATTGAGATCGCAGAAATAATTCCATTTACATATGGGCTGCTGATCTTTGACAGAGGGCCACAGAACACTAAGTAGGAAAAAAAAAATCTCTTCAAAAATAGTACTGTTTGAAAGGAATATGTGATTAGGCATTATTTGCATGACAACAGTCCAGAATAAAAGGTGCATAGCAAAGTGGACTGGGGGTAGAGGGAGGGAGGCAATTATGCAACAATGAAAGAATTTTTAAAAAATTTTTTATTAATTTCAATGAACATCTACAGAGATTTCGGAATTTCATTCATTCATTGTTGCACTTTTCTCCCCGCCCACCCCACCTCCACCCCTAGTTCACTCCTCTCCTTGAAAAGCAAAAGAAAAACTCCTTCGCTGGTACACAATACAGAAAAATGAACTGGCTGGGGGAGTGTAGGGAGAAAAATGTGCAACAGTGAATGAATGGAAATCTTGGTTTTCTGTAAATGTTCATGAAAATCACAATAAAAAATAAAACTGAGTATTTGCTTGCAGAAAAATGAAACAAAATCCATACTTTACACCATATAAAAAATTAACTCAAGATGGATCAAAGGCCTCTGTGTAAAATTTAAAATTGTAAAAATCATCATAAAAATAGGGGCAAATTTGAGGACTCTAATTTATAGTCTTAATAGACTATTAGTCCTAACTAAAAAATAGTAAACAACAGATCATAAACCAGAGAAATGGAGCATCTAGAATTAAATTATTATTTACATCAAAAGATTTCTCCAAAAGAATGAAAACAAGACCCTACAGATTTGGGGGGGGGATATCTGGCAATTGCCTATCAGACAAAAGATTAATTTCCAAAATTGAAGGAAAGTGTAACACCTCAACAACAGAAAGATATTAAGAGGACTGAAAAGTTGGAGTGGGTAACTACTGTTAATACTGTATTGAAAGCAAAAGGTTTTGCTTGAAATCTGATTTATGTTATGTCCTTTGCATTCTGAACCTTTTACTTACTGACAAAAGCATGTCTCTTAAAGGGGAGTGGATTTAAGAGTGAGACACAGAGCCAGGAAGAGAGCTCCCTGGGGGATGAAGCCGAGCCCCAAAAGCACAGAGCCCTCAGGAGGCTCTGCTTTGCCACACTGGCTGGGGCCTACTGTCTTTCTGGTCCTAGGTTTGATGAGGTCCTGTCTGAATACTTCTCTTTGCAGTCTGTCACTCTATGTGCATCCTGACAACAGGAAACCCTTTTAGCTGAGTGGCTTGGGTTTCTGTTCTTGTCACACAAAGACAGTTGTTTTCCGAATATGAGTCACTGCTACTATCTTTCTAGTCATGATGGGGATTAAAAATTCGTCTGTGTCCATTAAAAAAAAGTTATGTTGTAAATGTCTTAACAGGGTAAAAAGGGAAACCACAGACTGGGAAAAAGTATTGGTAATGACATGTCAGACAAGGGACTTATATCTAGAATTTATAAAATACTCGAGCACCACAACAAGATAAAGGTAAACAACCCAATTGAGAAATGGGCATAGGATATGAACAGACACTTCACCAAAGAAGACATTCAGATGGCCAACAAGCACATGAAGAAATGTTTAAAATCCCTAGCTCTAAGAGAGATACAAATCAAGAAAACTATGAGATATCATCTCACCCCAGTCAGAACAGCAAAATTTAATAGAACAGCAACCAACAAATGCTGGCGAGGTTGTGGAGAAACTAGAACCCTTGTTCACTGTTGGTGGAAGTGTAAAATGCTGCAACCACTGTGGAAGGCAGTATGGTGCTTTCTCAAAAGTTGCAAATAGAAATACCATTTGACTCAGCAATTCCACTACCTGGAATATATCCCAAAGCAACCATAATCACCACCCAAGCAGATAAACGCACACCCATGTTTATCACGGCTTTTGTTCACATTAGCAAGGAGTTGGAAACAACCTAAGTGCCCATCAACAAACGAATGGATAGAGAAGTTGTGGTATATTCACATGGTGGAATACTATGCTGCATTGAAAATCAAGGAACTCATGAAATATTATTCAAAATGGGTGACCCTGGAGGACATTATACTGAGTGAAATATCTAAGTTACAAAATGACAAATACTACATAGTGCCACTGTTTTAAAACGGGACTGACACAGAGTTGGGGAGGAGACTGAGAAAGATGGGATAAATTATGTATACTGCATTGAAACAGATGAGAGAAAGAACTTTTTAAAAGGTATATATGATTAGGTATTATTGTCATGACATGAGTCCAGCAGAAAGGCTGCATAGTGGCATAGTGGAGTGGACTTGGGAGGAGGGATTTCTTTTACTATTTAAAGAGAAGAACAAATCCTAGGGGATGGGTGGGCAGGGAGAAAAGTGCAACAATGAATGAACGGAAATCCAAAATATCTGTAAATTTTCATTAAAATTAATAATAGTAATAAAGTCAATTAAAATACTTTTTAAAAGGCCATAAAGTTACTTTGTGGAAGCATTATTCACAATAGCAAAGAGATGGAAACATCCCAGGTGCCCATCAACAGTAGAGAAACTACTCGACATTCACCCAATGGAACACTAGGCAGTATTGAAAAACAGTGAACTCGTTAAACACTGCACAACATGGACAAGTCTGGAAGACATTATGCTGAGTAAAATATTTCAGTCACAAAGGGATAAATACTGCACAGACCCGTTACTGCAAAAATAAGATCAAGATGGGTGGGAGGGAGAGCAGGAAAAGTGTGGATAGATAATAAATACTGCACTGGAATGAAGGAAATTATTTTTTTTTCAATGCAATAAGCATAATTTATCCAGTTTTTCTCAGTCTTACCCCCACCCCAATGTCAGCCTCATTCTATAACAGTGGCACCAGAAAATTCTTAAAGTAATGGATGATTTAAAACTATGTGCATGACAATTAATAGCATTACAAGGGGAACTGGGAGAGGGGGAGGAAGGGAAGTATGCAAGAATAAACTAATAATAATAATAAAATGGAAAAAATATGCTGTGGTCCAGCCATGTCAATGTGGCCCTGAATCCTCCATAGGCTCCCCCTGTAATAACTCTACTCTCACCTTGATGCCTGCCTTTTGGAGTTCTCAAACCAACACGCAGGGTAGTGACTTGCCTGTTGCCTGCCTGCCACATCACCCATTGTATTGCTGCCTTGGCTTCACTCCTGCGTCCAGCCCTGTAAAAGGACCAACTGGCACAGAAACAGTCGTCACTCCTTTACCTTGTTCACACCGTCGGCCATCGCTTGCAGAGTGAGCTCCCGGGGCCCATCCACAGTCTTTCCATTGTCTGTGGGGCCCCAGCTGGCACTGTAGATGTCGATCAGCTGTGGCATGTGGCTGATGGAGGAGGCCTCAATGATGTCTGTCATAAAGGGCTGGTCCAGCATCCGGATACCTGCAGAAACACGGGAGCAGAGAAGCACTAGGCTTTGGAACTACTTTTTATAGGTTATAGTCGTGTTGACTACTGCCAGTCCTGGTGTAGGCTTTGAATGTCTTGTGATCCCAGGCACTGTGGGAGACATGCTGGGTAGGGTTACACCTGAAGAAGCAGGCATAGACTATCATATTTACTCTTTTATGGGCCTCCATTTCATCTTTCCTTATTTAACTATTAGAAGAAAACTATATTCATCTAGCAAGTGTCACCTGAATTCCTAGTGGAGAGAGCCCACCTTTGTGAAGAGCTTCCTTGATAAATTCTTTTCTAAGGGGAAGCTCAACTTCCAGGAACAGGGTGTTTAGAGTGGTAGATGTTTCACAGGGGAAATAAAGTTACTGTTCATGTCAAGTGTAAGGAGGAAGCAATTGATATTTGATAATTTTAAAATCCCAGAGAAAAGAGGCAAGAGTGAGGGCTAGAGTGGGCCAGAGAGGAAAGTTCTGGGAAAAAGAGGAACTCCTGGGGGAGTACTAGTTGGGAAAGGACTTTGGGGAAGACAGAAATGTTGAAAAGTTATTCTAAAATGAACTAATAATCAGGTGTGATCTCTCCTCTTTCTTCTCTGTGTCATCTTTTTGAAGGTTGTGCTTCTCTATGATGCATTATAGGAGTGACTTCTTGCTGGAAATTTGAACAGGAGCAGTTCTACAGTCCAGGCTTGTATGGAGCAAAGCCTGAGTTGCTCACAGGGTATGAGAAGATGGGACAAGGAACTGCCTCAGCTCTGGTCACCTCTGCCCCTGGGCACTATAGCTCACGTCTCCTCTGGCTGTATGAGAAAGGCTGTCCCAGGATTGATTTAGCAGTGACCAGTGGTGCGTATTCTCCCCTCAAAGCATTTTTCTTTGGGGCTTTATCTCTACAAGGGGTTGTGATAAGGGATGTGCCAACTAGATGTATGAGGAATGTACTATTCTGTGACAAGCTCTCTACCCATGAGAGTCATGGAATAGTGAGATTGTACTGCATGCTCCAGAGACCTTGACATAGCCCTCCTTATTTGTCACATGGTGGACATTATTTTATATGCATCATTCTTGAATATAGTGTACAAATCTATTCAGTTAAATGCAACCCTTGCAGGGCACCTGAAGTTGGTATAAACATACTTTCTGTCTAAGTGTCTCCTACTTTCAGCTCTTTAGAATCTTGGGGCCTTTCTTTACTCCCCAACATCTCATAGGCCAATCTGTGCTAGGACTTCAATTTCTCCTAGTGCTCACCCTTCTCCTGACGAGTTCCTGTTTATTCAGTAGTTGTTTCCCCAGGGAAGTCTTTCCTAATCCAATTCTCAGGGTCCTCCTTTACACTACACACTTCTTGTTCATAGACTAAATTTTCCATTGCAATTGCTTATTTGTGTGTTTCATGTAACATTACGAACAAGGTCTTTGGGAAAAGGGGCTATGTAAGTTACTGCATTTCTTGATATCAACACGTGCTTCTTATTGATGTTGTTTGGTGAGTATTTGATGAACAAATATTTACCCATGTTTTATTGACTACACAAAGACATTTCACAGTGTATAGCTTATAACAAATTATGAATAACATTACAAAGAGTGGGAATTCCAGAACACTTAATTGTGTTAATGTACAACATGTACATAACAGAACAAAGGGAAACCACATGGTTTAAAAACAGGAAAGGTGTGCCTCAGCCCTGTATTCTTTCCCGACATTTATTCAGTCTGTGTTCTGAGCAAATAATCTGGAAAGCTAGACTATGTGAAGAACACAGCATTATGATTGGTGAAAGACTTAAGAATCTGTTTTTGTTTTATTTGTTTTTGAATGATCTTCAGCACTATTTTGATTGCATATGATATTAGTAATAGTTTTGCATAATTTCCACATTCTGTTGGATCACCTTTCTTGGGAATGGGAACAAATATAGACATTTTCTAATTCATAGACCAGACAGCTACCCTCCTAATTTCCTGGCTTAAATTGGTGAACACATCCAGGGGTGCATCTGTTAACTGAAACAAGTCAATAGGTACTCCATAGATTACTATGGCCTTATTTTTTTGTTACTGCTTTCAGTGCAGATAGGGAACTCTCAGCTGTTCAAGCAGGAATTAGAAGAGGCTATGGCACAAAGGATATCATTGCTGATGTCAGATGGATCTTGGCTGAAAGAATACCAGAAGAATGTCTATTTATGCTTTATTTATTATCGTATCAAGTTGTGACTAACATAGAGAAGAATTGGGAATCCTAGAGCACTTAATATGCTTATGTGCTGTTATGCAAACAGAGCAAGGGAATACTGTTGTTGTTATTGTTGTGCTGTCGAGTTACTTGTGACTCTTCTTGACTCTGTACAACAGCTCTGAGCTCTGTTCTATCTGGAGCCAAACTCATTTTCTTTACACACCCAACCTCATTATCCCAGTCACTGAGTCAATCCATCTCATTCAGTGTCTTCCTCTCTTGTGCTGTCCCTTCCAAGCATGATGTCCCTCTCCAAGGACTCGTTCTTCCTTGCAACATACCCAAAGTATGCCAGATGGAACTTCATAATCCTTGCCTCCAAGGAGCAGCCTGGTTTCAGCCTCTGTAGGACGAACCTGTTTGTCCTCCTAGCAGTCCATGTGCATTAGGGGTGTATTCTCTCTCCATACCTATTCAATCTGTATGCTGAGCAAATTATTTAAGAAGTTGAACTTTATGAAGAAGAATGTGGCATCATAATCAAAGGAAGATTCATCAATAACCTGAGTTATGCAGATGACACAACCTTGCTTTCTGAAAGAGAGAAGAACTTGAAGCACTTGTTACAGAAGTTAAAAAAATACAGCCTTCAATAAGGATTGCATCTTAACATCAAGAAAACAGAAACACTGACCACTGGAGTAATAGACAAGATCATGATAGATGGAGAAAAGATTGAGACTGCCAACAACTTTATCTTACTTGGATCCACAATCAGCACCCTTGGTATCAGCAGTCAGGAAATCAAGAGATGTATTTCACTGAGAAAATCTTCAGTCAGAGACAGTTCCAAATTATTGAGGAGTAATAATGTCAGATTTAGGACTTAGGTGCATCTGATCTAGGCCATGGTCTTTCTGATCACTCACATCTGTGAGCTGGACATTGAATTAGTATGACAGAAGAATTGATGCCTTTAAGCTGTGGTGTTGGAGAAGAGTACTGAGCACCGCATGGATGGCCAAGAGGGCAAACAAATATGTCTTGGAGAAAGTGCAGCAAGAGTTGGAGGCAAAATGTTAAAGCTTTGTCTGGCAAACTTTGCTAGAAGAGGCTATTCCTTGGGGAGGGACATCATGTTTGGAAAGGCAGAGTGTCAGTGAAGGAGAGGAAGATTCTCAACCAGGTGAATTGACACAGTGATTGCCACAATGAACTCTAGTATGTCAGGAAGTGTGAGAATGGTGCAGAATAGGCCAGGTTTCAGATCTGTTGTTCATAGGGTCATTATGGGTCACAGTCAACTCAAGGGCACTTAACAACAATATACATAGTTGTTATGGATTTCATTTTGCTTGAATCTACATCAACGTCCATGATAAAAAATCAAGTGATGTATTGCACTGAGCACATCTGCAGTGAATGACTTTTTAAAAAAGTATTAGAAAGCCTTGTTTTTCTTTTTAAAAATATTATTATTTTTTTAAACCCTTTGGTGCAATATTAAAAAGCAATACAGCAGGGAGCTCTGGTGGCCTAGTGCCAAGAAGCTGAACTGCAATCCCAGAGGTGTGTGGTTTAAATCCACCAGCTGCTCTGCTAGAGAAGGAGTGGCAATGTCCTCCTGTACCAGTCAGATCCAATTTGACAGTACACACACACACACACACACACACACACACACACACACACTTAAAATAAAAAAAAATCTAAAAAAATTAAAAAAAAGCAATCCAGCCAGCTGGAGCAGCAACCAATAGACAGGGGAATGGGCAAGACCCGGGGACCCTTCTCCATTGCTCTTGGGACCTGGAGGCCAGGAGACTGGGAAGTGTCATGGATGATGGGGAAGGAAGGAAAGACCACCCACTCAACAAAATGAACAGGCAGATGAAAACATTTATATAGGAAACATCTGCCTGAACTGAATAGGATCTTGGGGAGATAAGATGTCCCAAATTTTTTCTATTAGGGTCTTGGGCCTGGAGGATTGACCTCTTAGGATAAAATGAGCAGGCCCTGTCTCAACTTATACCACAGCATGGAGTGTTAGACGTGCTGGGGGCAGATATTTAAAGTGTTAAAAAATAAAGAAGTCACTTTGAAGGCTAAGTCACACCTGACCCAGACCATGATGTTTTCAATTATCTTGTAGCTTTGTGAAACCTGGACAATGAGTAAGGAAGATGGAAATAGATTTGACGCCTTTGGATTATGGTGTTGATGACGAATAATGAATATACCAACAACTACCAGAAGAATGGGCAAATCTTTTTTGGGTGACAGAACAGAAAAATACTTGTTAGAATTGAGGATTTGCTACCTGGAAGGCCGAGTGTTTGGAGAAGAACATAATGCCTGATAAAGAAGAGAGTCAGGAAAATAGAGGGGAACCATCAGCAAGGTGGATTGACATAGTAACTGCTACAATGGGCTCACATGTAACAGAGGTTGTGAAGATGGCACAGGACTGAGCAGGTTTCCATTCTGTTGCGCTGACTTGATTGCAATGAACAGCCACAACAACACTGAACTAGTTAGTTGCTCTTCTAACAGAAGGGACAAAGAACAGGAAACCCAGATTTCCATCCTTTTCCATTAACCCATAAATCAGGTCACCAAATTTGACTAGTCAACAGACAACCAATTATGAGTCTACGTTCTTTCCCTCTGAGTGAGCTTATACAGAATAAACATAGTCTTTGATTTAAGCTTTCCAGAATCTAAGATTTGTGGCTCATTTTAAAAGGAGAGAGCAAATTAAAGGCCACAGATTTTGTTCTTCAACCTTTATT